GACTCGGTCGAACCACCTGGAGCGAATTTGATTCGCGCCGCTGACCGTTGTTGCCCTTTCCTCCTCGTTACGCCCGGCCTCTCGTTGTTCATCGTGGCTCTTTTTCATGCAGATATTTCCCCGAATCCGCATGAATTCCAAAAGATTTAACACTTCAACTTTGTACCGTGACCGTGTCTTCGAGCTTGCGAATCATCCCTCGTTAAACTAACGACAATCGAGACTGATTTAGTATATCTCGTATCAGATATGAAAGGCGATATCTACGGAAACGAATGGTTCGATCGATTTAAAAATTGATACTCCAGAGTCTAGACACTTGTACACAGTTGATCGCTGTAGGAATATCAGCGATCGAGCTGGTCAAAGTGTAATACATCCGAGCAAATATAGAATACACCGGCGAAATCGTACCAGGTAAACAGTTTTAATTGTTGCAGGAACGTTTCGTGTTTAAAGGCAAACACGCTATCGAAACATCTAAACGCTTTGTTCGTCTGGTTTTTTGGTCTTTACCGAAGATGTTACGGTGGCACGTTGTGTTTCGTATCCTCCGGAGGAAGCGAAAACAACGCGATGCCCTGGCAAAAGCTTAATTGCTTTGGGATTCGAGCTCGTTAGACACGGGCGTCTCAGGTATTCCTCCGTTCTTCCTCACGGTGATTTCGTTGTCCTCTCTCTCTCTCTCTCTCTCTCTTCATTTACATAATATTATACAAGCCGCGATGTTTCAAATAACTCTCTCCTACTTCGTTTCTATCCCGGCTCTTCTTTCACTTTTTAATTTCGTTTACTCCGCGAGAACTACAACACAGACGGACAAGGCTTGACAAAACGGTAATACGTTTAACAGCCGTGGTCTCTTATTCGAACATATCTTTTCCACCAAACACAGCCCTGGACCCTCATCCTGGTTCTCAGATTGTTTCGTTTTATTCTTCATTAAGGAAGATTTTTTTATCAGAGCGGGTCACGAAGCGAAATGGGCTCGCTCTCGAGGAACATTACGCCTCCCGTGGGATTCATTTCTCTCCGCTTCTATTCCACTCACTCACGATCAATTCCAGACTTTGCTTCTTACCCTCCTGTAACTTCGAATTGGCCGGATCCGTGCTCGTTATATCCGATGTCGTGAGTGCACTTACACCGCCGACGCCGACGCCGACGCCGCTTACAATCGTTTCACTCATCCAGTTGATGATTTTGCTTCCGGACCTCTTACAACTTCGAGCCATCCCGCAGGAATTCTCCCTGCCGCCACTTATTACGCTTAGTGAATCCCTATCAATCTAACTTCAAAATGGAATTTCGTGATTGCCCCACGCGTTTGTGTACCGGCCATTAAAGCCCGTGTCTCCCGCGAACCGAGGCGCGCGAGAAATAAAATCGCAAATTGCCCAGTCACTCTCGCGACCTATTGTACCGGCGCCAAGAATAACAGGTTGTTAGAACGATTAATTGGCAAGAGGGATCAATTTTTTCTCTATAGTCTAACTCTCTCTCTCTCTCTCGTTATATCGTCGACCGCTCTCTTTATCCTCCTCTTTTTCACTCGTCGATGAGCGAACCAGCTTCTTCAACTTTCGATCATATATTTGTATACAGAGATTATTCAGTTACTGTCTCTGGTTAACCCTTTCGCCACGGCGGATTTTAACGCAAAATTTCTTATTTTGGCCTATCGTTCTGAAACTCGATAAGATTAAGTATTGACTTTTTGCAGTCGAACTCTGGGATATTCCCAATAAGGCGATTTTACCTGCAGAAACGGGGGAAAAAATAAACAACCTACACAAACAAACTCATTTGAATAGAATTCATACGTTTTTTGGACGATAATCGACCGAACGCGCGCTACCAAGAAATGCCCACGGAAAATACGACCGCAAAGAAAAGTGTTCAACGGTGTAGGAAATTTTCAAAACGCCTATAGGCGCCGACAGCAACGAAAGGGTTAAGTACGAGGAGATCTATCCAAACCAGATACCAACAGCGTTTCTCGTCGTCCCTCAATTTACTCGCGGAGATGGTCGAAATCACGGGGCCATAATCCTTGCAGTTTCGTCTCGCGTAATCAACCCGACGAGAACAGGACGTAAAACTATAAGCCGGGCGGATACACGAGGACGATCAAGAGAGAAGAACGGTGATCAAGCTAAACCGTTTCACCCGCGTACATTTATTGTCATTCGTAACGACAAATTCGCGACTAATCTCTCTCTCGCACGGAACGGGCACACCTATACCCTAAAAGCGAACCGCCAAAACTGTCTCCTCGAGGCGTAATTCCCGGTCGTCGCGACGGGAATACCAACGTCGTTGGCCGCGTTTCTGCGCGATTGCTCGTAAAAGTTTGGACGAGAAAGAAGGGAGAGAGAGAGAGAGGCAGGACAAGAAGAGCAGCAGGCGAAAGAATCAAGCTAGAAGAAGCTAAGAAAAAAAGATGGATGGCTAGCGGATGGTCGACTTTATTGCACCGGCGGATATTGTATAGCTTATGGTTACAGGAGTAAAAGAGGGAACGAAGAGAGAGAGAGAGTTTTCCCTGTGAAAACGAATGATCTATCGCAGAGCTACACGGACCGACCGGTCTGTAGAACGAATTTTTCGTCTCTGAAGTCTCTCTGGCCGGAAAATCAGTCAAAACTTTTTGATCCCCAGGTACAAGTTGGAACTTGAACTCTACTCCATCGAACGAAACGAACTTTCCCGCCGCCGATTCTCCGACGATTATAATTTTATAATCTAACAGCCTCGTAAAACTACAGAAGAGACCAAGTGCCCCGTTCAACTTTCAGCTTCGAGTAGGTACCTCTACCGAGAGTCTCTGTCGAATTTCCATCGACTTCCCTCTTACCTCGACCAAGATGTTACTTCGTTGGAGAAAAGGTGTATCGAAGGAAATCCAAGTGGTAGCAACGCCGTCCGAGAAATCCTTCGACCTGTCGATTAATTAGCCCCGGGTAACGCGGATCCGGTGGAAAAATTGAAAGGTTGCTTAGCCAGACTGTGGGGAGAAGGGGGGGGGGGGGGAAGAGATCGGGAAAGAGGGCGAACGAGCACTGGATCAAACCGCTGGATTACAAGTCCAATCCTCGGGAACGGAGCGGAGAGAGTTCCTCGAAGATGTGGAAGTTGCGGCGAAGAGGCGGCTGCGAGAGGAGAGAAGAAGGCGGGAGGTGTTGGGATAAGGGAAGGTGGATGGTCGCAAGGCTTGGGATATTTCGTTGGGACCGAAGAAACGTATATCGCAGGCTGCATTCGTATCAGCTACACCGGGTGAACTGATGAGACTTTGGTAGAGAGAGTACGCTGAAGAAACAACGGGCTTATTTTCTTGGCAAATTTTTGGAGGAATATCCCCGCCAGCCGGGGATGCAGATCTCGAGGAAATGAAAAGTTTTCACGGGGATATGAAAAGGAGAGGAATTTGCGGTGGATGCTATATTGTGATTTAAACGAGGAAATAGGTGCGACACTCTGTACGTGATAGGTAAAATACTTGTGTTTTTTATAGCTTTCTTTAATAACTTTCAATTTATACGTTGATGCGTTCTATCTCTGCTCTTTCTCTTTTTGTTCGCGATAAATTGCTTGGAGTGCGACGAATTTCATTCCGCACGGCGATATATAAATTTCGAAATAGGAACGATCGTTCTTTTTGAATAGAACGCGACGATTAAATCCCCCAAACTCTCCCAATGCTTTTCTTCTTTTCTTTTTTTATTTTTCTATCGAACGTACAGGCCGACATAGATTAACGAAGATCTCCCGTGTTTTTTCCCCCGCGAAGCAACGAAAATAAATGAAAAAAAAAAAGAGAGAAAAAGATGGAACGATAAAGTGCTTTTGACACGGGAATGACAGGGCGAAACCGCGATGGTTCGGTTAAAAAAGAATAACCCCCCGTGTTCTGTGGTCACGATACACCTCGAACCAGGCAACAAATGCAGAAACAAAAAACAAACGAAGAAAGAGGTGATCGACAAACAGAGCCACGAAACCAAACCGCACGAGCCATCGTTCGAAACGATGAAACAAAATATTTGTGCGGTTTCAACGATTTCCGTGACGCGCTTCACTACCTCCCTACAGATTCAATTTCTCCAGGAAGATTCGTTTACCACCCGTTGCATAACACAGACACACACGCGCGCGTGCACAGACTACCGTATACACCCTTCCACAGTATTGCCGCCTGTGTGTAAGTGTTCGTCCGGTAGCAAACGACAGCTATATGTACAACTTATAAGTCGTTCCGTGGCATTTTGACAAATCGCCCTTGTCCTCTTCTCCTCCCTCCGTCCAATTCTTACCTTCGGGGATCGCTTCGAAGCGCGACCAAACTACGACGATATTTCTTCCACGCAGAATGCTGTTCTATTTTGAAAAAATGAAAAATGGAAAAATTGCGCATGTTCGAAGGGAAAAGGTAGACGAAAGCTGGCGGAAAGGCGGCAAGTTAATTCCATCGCTACACGTTTCCTTCCGCCAATAAAACTGGCAAACGTTCCCTCTCGAAATCGATCGAAAATTACAGAAGGATCGGTCAAGCTTCCCTCCGCGCTCTATCGTCCTCCTTTTCCAACATTGTTGCCGCACGGTAAATCCTCTAGCCGCGCGTGCACCACTAGAAACTTTTCCACGGGAGTTCTCCCGGGGGTTTATCGGCGTCCGAGGCAGTTTTCGGCAGCCACATTTTTTCTCCTCCCTTTCCCCTACTGAAATTCGAGGGTCACGCAAATCGAGCGTGACCGGGCAACCTGCTGCTCGAGGAACGATCCGACTCTCTCTCTCTCTCTCTCTCTCTTCTAAGCGTCTATTCTAGAAAAGTCTCTGTACTTATGTGAATCGATCGAGAGGAGAAACAGAATCGTGGCGTCGAAATTGACTGCGCAGAGAGTTGGGGGGTGAAAAAGGAGGGCGACGTTGTGTCAGACACGTTAGATCGAGATAAACGAGGAGAACAGGGGGGAAGATACGGCGATGATTCTACTCACTGACTAAGGTGAGGAAGGGTATGTTGTGCTGTTGAAAATGGGGCGGACTGCAGGCTTCTTCCGGCCTCGAGACGGCGCTTCCGGTTTGCACCTCTATCACGTGGCCGTCCCTTCGGTAGAACTTCATGCACATGAAACCGCTCCGACTGAAACACACAGAGAAGAGGCACCCGAATAAAAACCGTTCTCTTCGCCTCTGGTGAAGGACCGGCGAAACGTTTCGCCCGCGTGAACAATAACTGGACTGTTCCTACTGACAATGGATCGCGGTTTGCGACGTGTATCCGGTTCCACGTTTGCATCTCAAAACAATGCAATATCGATGTCCCTTTTTGTTCTCCCTCCCTGAGACAGTTTTTTGAAAAATTCCAGGCTCGCTGGACATTTCGAATTGGTACCTATTCCATTCTTCGAACGACGATAAATCGGTCACTTACCTTTCGTTATTAGCGCGTAGAAAGAAAGAGAAAGATGGTAAGGAAAAAGGAAAGATAGATTTACTCACCAGCCAACGGTGAAATGGGCGACGAGCATCTCCATGTTGAGCTGCACCGCGTTGTTGTTCTGTTTGATGCTGTTGCACAGGATCTTCACGTCCTGATCCTCCTGTCCAGGAACGTATTGGCCGTCCAGGGCACCGCTCTCGAATCTCGAGGAACTACCGTTCGATCTGGTTACGTGCAGGGAAGCGTTCCGTAGATGGAACGTGTAAGACCTGGTGAGGTCGAGGGTATGCCAGGTTTGCCCGCCGCTGGAATGGCCGGTCAACCAATTGGGAAATCGGCATTGGCCGGGTGGCGAGACTGAAAGCGCACAGGAACCAATTTATTTAATGCTGATTGGACTCTGCCTCGAGTTCTCCTTTTCCTCTCTTCCAACATCTCCTTCGTACCGGTGTTAAACGGAACGGTTTCTTCCCTTTAAACGGGTATTTAGAATATGGACTTTGCGATTCCTGATTGTTCCTTCGCCTTCTTTCTTTCTTCCCTCCCCCGCGCGCGTCTTCTTTCCCTTACTCGTGGCCCCCGGGTTAAACGGTTCGTTTCCGGCAACGCGATGGAATATTTGAGAGTTCGAGGAGGGTAATCGAGTCGACCTTCGAATCGTTGCTTTAATTCTATTTGATCGTGCTCGAACACCGTCCAGAGATGAAATCTAAGAGCGGTAAGGAGGTAGAATTATCACGGGGATATTCCCCCCCTGATCGGCAAGACGCGTCCCGTATTCTTTAAACGAACGCTCTCTCCTGATCCAGGCATTTACATGTCGCTATCGATCGATTCGAATCGAGAAGCAGAGAGAGGGAGAGAGAGAGAGAGAAGAGGAACAGGATGAGACGAGCTCCGAAAATTTCGCAGTCAGCCCACACCGGCCCATAAAGTCCTCGACGTTCCGAAACGACAGCCGATAAAACGTCGACGTAGGTATTCGATGGCGAAACAGAATCGTTCGAGTATCTCGCCAGTCCACCACCTCCCTCTCTCTCTCTTCCTCTTTTACTCCTCTTTATTCACGCTGCTGCTCCCTCTACGGAGGCTCTCGAACGTGTTCCACTTCCGGCTCGGGGGTGTAAAATCCGGGCGTGAGAAGGAGCCACTTCGATAGCGCCCGTCGCCGGGGAAAGGGTTGAAGGAGGAAAGTGGATAACAAAGAGGGAGGGAGAGCAAAAGGAACAAGGGCAACTGGCTATAGGCTGATAGATAGATGAAAGGAGAGACAAAGATAGAGAGAGGGAGGAATAGAAAATAGAAGAGAATAGCCAGGCTGTAACGACGCAAGGGTAAAAGACGCGATGTAAAAAGTATAGGAAAGAAGATGGGAAAATACCAATGGGGATGATGACGGTGGCCGAAGAAAGAGCGATACCTCGGCCAGAGGGTGGAAGGTTAAGAGAGGAAGAGCGACAGCCGAAGAAATAGTACGATAAGAAAAGAGGGAAGAAGGGTGTATAGAGGTGGAAGTATGGAGGATTGACAGAGTGTACGTTCGGGCAGTTTTATGGCACGTAAAAGCATTGTTGCACGGCCTGGGAAAGAATGGAAATAATTCAGCGGCTCCCTTCGATAAGTCCACGACGCGGGCGAGCGAGATACAAATTCCGCGATCGTAAAAATCGAATGGCATCTCCCTTGTTTTACCTTCTGTCGTTCTTTATCTTTTCGTGGTATCAAGTCATGCGCCACCCTTCTATACGTGTCACTCTTACTCTCTCTCTCTCTCTCTCTCTCTCTCTCGATCCCCGACCCCTTCCATTATTTCTCCCGTTCTACCCGTTCACCGTGTATTGCCAATCTGCATTTTAACGATACCGATAAAAATCTGACGGAAAGTTGAATTTGTAACTCGCCGGTATCGGGCTGGCTGGTTGCGAACGATGCAACGTAGACGAAGGGAGGAGAGATCCGCCACGGTGTCGCGATTGATTTCTAATATTCACGCTTCTCTCGCCAGAGAGAGAGAGAGAGAGAGAGAGAGAGCTTCCGCGGAGGGAAGTTCGACTACTCGTCAATAATGAAGCCGCGCGCGCTTATCTTGCGTTCGCGCCTCCGACGATCCACGCCGGCAACTAAGTTGTCGAGTTTTAACGAAACTTTTAACGAAACCCTGTAATTATATTTCGTAAAATCTCGGATTCACACTATTAACGTCCGGATTAAAAGTTTCCCCCGGGGCTTCCCACTTTATCGTCAGACTCTCGCCGTCGCGTCCTTTCTAAATTCCAGTTAATTTCATTAGTTTAGAACAATAGAGGAGGGGGGAGGGGGCATCGGGTGAACCAGGTGACTTTATTTGTCCAGTCGATCTGCTGTCCAAATATTAGCGAACGCAGAGGTTGCCGCCGGAAATTTCGGGGCACGATCGTTCGATTAACGAGCAGCTTCGACGGCGTAATTGCCTATTCGAGAAGGGTCTCGTGGTACGAAACGTGGTGCTTCACCGGTTGCTCCTCGTCCACGTTTCAAGACATCTTTCCCCGGCCCAGCCGAGTTCCCTTTCGCCGGTTAAACCGCACGTTTCGAGCAGTTATGAAAACGCAGTCGAGTAATTTTCCCGTGGTATTGACTCTGCGGTAGAAGAGTCCAGGCTAATTGAACAAACTTTCGAGCCGGCCTGTGGGTGCAGTTAAAGGTGCTCGACGAGTGACGGAGATAGTAGACGGGGAAAGTAAGACGGAGGAGGAGGGTGAAAGACGGGAAGATCGAAAAAGAGGGAGAGCAACAGACGCGATGGGGTAACCGAGCCAGAGAAAGAGAGGAAAAGATTTAACGTTAATCCATTTTCCGGGCTAGTTCTCGGCGTTGCTCTCTTCCCATTTCTCCGGCGCCGCTCGCCGTTTCCACAAAAAGGATCGAGATATTAACGACGCGAATGCTTACGAGGCGGAGCGCCACGCACCCCCTTGTCCCGACTGGTGGCTACCAGAGGGTGGAGAAAGGTAGAGTTCTCCACGCTTTTTCACCACCACGGCACTTTTATCCGCGCGCGTGTCGCCGCCGACTTTCGCTCCACTTGAAACGATTCGACGAAGAAAGTAGCGTGCGGGTCGCCGTTTCGACCAGCGAGAGAAAGAAAGAAAGAGAGAGAGAGAGAGAGAGAGATGCTGCGAATCCACTCGAGTGAAATCCGTTAACGAAGTTTGCCGTGAAACTGTACGCAGTAAGATACGGGCTTGCAAACTCTCCCCTTCCGGAAGAAGCAGCAAGTGCGCTCGGGTCGATGGAAAAAAGAAAGGAAGAACGTGTTAACGTTAGGTTGAAGAAAGGAGAGAAGTGGAGTAGCGTGTAAATATTCCTCGTTCGCGCTATGGACCGCCATTTTGACACGTACCTGTTAATGACACTGCGAGAGAGCTGAATTTTTCAGACCGTGATTCCTACGACGACAGACGCTTCCCTCTTTTCTTCTACACCTTTCTCGAGTATCGCGTATGCAACCTGACCTTATTCTACCTACGGACCTTATTCTTTCTCTTCCCTTTCTCTCTAGATCGTGCTACGAGTAATCGACTGAATACATTCTACGAACCAATGAAAATATTTACGCAAGCTCCATTCGAACGATCCGTTCGAAGAAAGAGAAGAACCTTTTGAATTTGAATTGCCTTCAGAAATTCTAACCTATTCTACGCTCTACGCACCTTTCATCAGCGTCATAGTTCGAGATCCTTCCATCGGGCTGAACAGTCCGTTGCAAGTGGCATCTCCGCTCTGCGCCACCCGGTAGATCTCGGCCGCACCCTCGGGCACCGGTCCGCTCTGTAAACCGACATCGTGATCCATGGCTCCTATGCCCATGGCAGCTCGGTGCAGATTACCCTGCACTGTCTGGCCTGCCTTCTCGTAGACGAAGCATCGGTATCGATCTTCGTTACTGGACGCGTGTCCGTGATGCAAACGGCCGACCAGGTAACGGCTGCTGCCCTCCTTCCAGGTGGCCAGGCATTCCAGCTCCTCAACTGAAACGTACCAAACGACCTCGTCAACATCGCCGTACAAACGACCAACCATCGACACATGTACACGGAAAATCGCCCAATGTTTTTGCACGCCCGGTGGCCCTTTGTACCCTATGCAACGGTAAATTGAACGGGAGTTACATTTTATTGGAAAATTCGCTTTCTGTGATTTGACAAACATTCTCTCTTCCCTTTTTCCCCGCTTTAACTTTTCGCTCGTGGCGATGGATTTTCTCGCGGAACGATCGCGTAACAGTTTTCTGCACGCGCGGCGTAAAACCGGGGTTATTTGCGTAGGATCAACTGCACGTATCGAGTCGGAAAGTTTATTTCGTCGCGACGTTTGTTCCCGAAGAGTGACGGGTGAACGTGTAACGTTTGATCGAATAAGGAAACTGAGTGACAGGTCGCGCCGAGAGAATACCGACGCGCCAAGTGTACGCATTTTCACTATAATATAACGATAACTTCCCGAGGATTCACCAAGACTAATACACGTGCTGGATCCCCGCGTCTATCAGCGAGATCAAATTCGACGCAGAGAGGGAGAGCTGCATGCGTCGGAATCTGGGTGGACCGCCACCGGGGAACGAGCTTTTTCGTTCGAATCCTCGCAAATTGCTCGCGGCGGCGTCCTCGCCTCCCCCAAGGACCAGGGATGAAGAAAGGAAGGCTGTTTCCTCGAAGACAGAGATAGAGAGGGAATGAGGATAAAGGTTGGCGAAACGAGGGCTGGTGCGCCGAGAGGGGAGAGAAAGAAACGGGAGGAAAAAGAGGTAGCCGACTTTTCCGCGAGATGTGATTTAGATACGCGCCTCTGGGATCTTGTGGAAAGGCTGGTCGCGTAGACGGCGGTTAAGGAACGGGGAGAAAGAAGGTGTCCGACGAACAGATCCACCGCGATAACATCGAGCTCTTTACCCGTGGTCTTTCGAGGGCCTCCACGTCTCTCTACAGCCGCATCGAACCGATAATTGTTGGTTTCTTCTCGTCCACGCTCCTCGGCTTCGTACACCTCCACGCCCTTCAAAGAACCGAGCTATCGTTTTTCACGCGGTAATCTTGCTCTTCTCGCTCCCTTTCCTGCCTCCGTCCACTGGACCTTGGCTTTTCCACGCACTCCTCCTTTTCAATGGCTTCGTTTCCGCCGGACAACTATCGCTGATTGCCTCCCGTGCAGCGAACGTCTCTCCTTCGCAGCACGTCGGATCGAGCCAAGACGCAGGGTGAAAAGAAGGGAAACGGTGGTAATCGAGGATCCCTTCGTCCACCAGTGGCTTCTTTCTACTCGTTACCGGTGTTTGCGGCTTTCTATCCTTCCCTTATCTCTTCCTCCTCGTTATCATTTTTCTTCCCCGTGTCTCCAACAGGCTGTATTTTCGAACAGTCACCGGCGCGATGCGGTACAATCCATTCGAGCTAAGCTTTCACCTCTCTTTGATTAATGTTTGTACACGCTTCGTTTCGACGTTTTTATGCGACTTTCTCACTTGATATACTGTATTCACCCGGGATGATGCATTGTTCCGTCTATATCGCGGTAATCGCCGGAGGAACGTTGTTTTGATTTTATACCTTCTCTCATGTTTTCCCATTTAACGAATCGTAAATCTAGAGTGTAATTCATCAGGAAAAAAGAACTGGCTCGCCGTGTGTGTCCGTGTGAGCGTATTTGGGACACGGTCGAGGATCACTTGAGCGGCTTTGTCGTCGAATATTACGGAGGAGAAAGAAAAAAAACGCGTAATTTCGTTGATGCTGTGCCCACGTTGACCAGACTTTAGGTACATATGGGTGACATTACGAAGAAGAAAGAAAAAAAACAGTCTGACCGCGTAATCGAAAAATTACAGCTCGTTTAATGGAATAAAAAAGGAATGAGAGAGAGAGAGAGAGAGAGGTCAAAGTCATTCTCCTCCGTTCTCTTACCATTGCCTTTCTCTCATTCGTTCTCCATTATTTTAATGGACCCTCTGAATCGTATCTACTCGAGACTCCGAGAATCTCTCCCGAATGGAAAGTAGAAAAAAAGGGCTATCTCCTCTATTACGAGTTCCTCGGTAAGATCGAACGATTTTAAATAAATTCCGGCGTCGCGGCTACTCGATTCGCCACGGGCCATCAGGCCGGATTTCTCACTCGTTTTGCTCCACGAACGTGACTCAATTAAGTTTGAATTATGCCGAATTTGCGTCGGATAACACTCCACAAAGGGATTAAACGGCACCGACGCAGAGTTCACGTCCCTACTTTCCCGAACGCGTGTTCAATTTAATATCGGATCCGGGGCTATAGCCGTCGAGGCATTCGGTCTCTACCTCTAGCAAATCATCGCGCTCAAAGCTTGGATATAACGTGAGCAATTTCGCGAAATTACATTACGCACCGTTAAAGCGCGCGTGAACAGTCGGTGACGTACTAATTCATCCCCCGGCCTCCTCCTCCTCCTCTTATCTACCCTTCTCCTATCGGTCTTACTAGTAATCGTAGTATTCGACAGCCTATCGCTCCTTTCGCGGTGAGTTGTTTCTCGTTGTACTTGATATTTTTTTTTTTTTTTCGAAAAAATTTCATTTGTTCACCGTGTCGCATTTAAAATGGCACGTACAGTGTACGGAATGAAACGCGTCAACATAGAGATCACGCGGGCCAGGTCGACCTAAAAGGGTATCTCTGCGTTCGCTTGTTCTACGTTGTTTTCCACTCGTTTTTCGTGTTTTCACGTCGAAAGTTAATTCGATTTAACGTCGATACGCTACGGTTCAGCGTTTTCGGCCAAAATGTCCATCAAAATAAAAACAATTCCGCGCGGATGTAACCGGTGAGATGGGTTTTTCCTCTGGCAGCTGCGATCGGGTTGATCACGCGAAGAATTTTACAAAATCAAATTGTCCCACTTTTGCCGGGCAAATTCTCGTTTACGGTATCTCCGCGATCGAATACTTCGTACGAACCTTTTATCGGTTGTTTGCAAAAATAAAAAAAAAAGAGAACCTGCCCCGCTTCTCGCATAAATCGTCCGCCACTCCAACTGTTTTTCCAACCGACGCGTACGTTTACGAGGAAAGGATCTGTACCATTTGCCCGGATTTCATTTAGATTCCCCTCCTCCGGCTTAACAGTCGTTGGCGTCGTCTCGCGAAAATTTCGAACGTCAGATCGCTCGGAATTTCACAAGGGAGAGAGATTTTTGGCGAACTGCCGGGGGAAGGAAAAGACTTATTCGTTACTCGGTTCGTTCATTTCGTTCGTCCTCGTCCAACTGCGAAAAGGGTTGGAAGCTGTTCGAAAATAGGGAAACCGGTTTCCCGCCTCGCCTCTCGATCCGGAACTCTCCCCGCGCGCGCGTTCAATCCGCCGCGGAAGTTTAACGAAGTCGAAATGGAGGAAAACGAGTCGGTGGTTTTGCGAACGGGGACCTTCGTTAGGGAGCGAAAGGGACGATTCTCAGCTCGTCCAGCCATTTAACCCTGCACCTCGTTTCGCTCGAATCGTTTTTCTCGATTCCTCGATATTTCTCACTATTTAAAATTGTTTAAAAATTCTTCTTACACCTCGTTCGAAGTTAAGGTAATTTTGAAAACAGTCTGTACGATACAGGATTAATCTGGTTCCTCGAGAAGTGAAGGGGACGATTTGTCCTTTTTCCTCCCGCGTCGTCGTCGTCCCGTTTAATTCTCCACCACAGAAATCGTTAGCTCGGCAAACCCCTTGTCGGATGTGCGTCTAATGGCAAACGTTCGCTCCCTCCTCCGGAAATCGAGCTCTCTCCCGGTCTCGGGGCCGCGACTAACGAATGCACGGACGAAAATCACTTCTAATCGCGCGCCGACCCCTGACCCTTTCAGCCATTAATTGAGCGTACGGCCTGGCGGAGGACTTGGTCGAAAGTTTCGAGTGTCTGTCGCCGAACGTGCTCCCCAAATTATGGTTTCTTAAGTGTGACGATTTCGAACAGGGTGGTCGTATGAATCTCGTTAGCTCTCGAGGGCATTTAGTATTCATTTCTCAATTACGAATAGAATTCGAGGGTCGTTTCTACGCTCAATTCGAGAAGAAAGAGAGAAAAAAGAAAAGAGAGAGTTGTGTTTTAAAAACCGTCACGGACAGGTCGATGTATCGTTGTTCGATGGAACGTGTCCGAGGAATACTCACCTGCGCTCTCGGAGGCAGATATGTCGGGGCACGCTTGATATCTGAAGAGCAATCTGCTGTCGTCGGTGCAGGTGTCGACGTTGCTGACGGGCACCGAGCAGGTCCCGTGACCCCGGTTATAGGAAAAGGTCATGGGTCCTCGAAAGGGGCACGGCACAGGTGTTGCCTCCTCCCGGAACATCGAGTAGAGCAGAGCATCTCCGGTGATGTACGAGCACAACGACGACAGGGAATTTCTGCTGTGACAATAGGCTGAAACAACAAATGCAATCACATTAGACATACCTTACTCGATCCAAAGGATCGTCGAACTTGCAAATTGTAGGGTAAGTTGTTGGAATTTTATTCGGTGGAAGAGTCAAGTTACCTGGTTAGGTATCATATCAGGGTGCGTTGACAAGCTTCCAACGTAATTACCTGGAATTGTTTACACTGTACGGGAAAATTAAAACGTGTCGATGAGCTAGAGTGAACGATTCATCCAGTTATCTTCGTTCACTTTGGAATAATTCGTCCAGTGACATTCGTTCATCTTGGAATATGCAATTCGATGGAATTATGAAAGTAGCACGATAACGATATCGACTCGAAGAGCTATGTATACTCGTCGTTGAAGCAGTTTTACCGAGCACAGTCTACCCACGCTACGTGTGTACGACACGCGCACACCGGGACGCATTAACTTTCGTCGAACAGCCATAAGTTCTTTCCGTGCACAGGCCGAGGCAGGCGGGCAGGCAGGAAGTCGGGAAGAAGGAGCGGGGAGGTAAGCAGACGATGACGAATCTTCGTTGAGTAGGAAGTTCATAGCCGGGAGTAACTTTAACCGAGGATATTCTCCGCGATTTCTTTCTTTCCGGTTGGAAAAGTGGCGAGACGCTCGTGCTGGGACACACGGCTAACTTTTCCGCGTGCGCAGGTGTCGCCGTGCGTTGAGAATAATCGAACGGCCATCGACGTTTCTTCTTCTTTCTTTTTTCCTTCATCGTCTGGACCATCCTCTCTCCGCTCTCGTTATTTTCGAGAATCGTCAATCCGCGGCGAGATCCAGGTTCTTTTTTCATTATCAGAAATCGCGAACGAATCGAACGGAGACAACGGGTTTTCTTTGTTGACTCGCGTGGAAAAACGCGTTGAAACGCGAACGATCGTTTCATTGTCCTTTCCTCTTCGCATTGTCGCCGCGTACCTTCGAATCCGCCCGCGTTTCGTTTTTACGGCAGTTTATGACGACTTTCTGCGTCGTATATCCAAGAGAACGTCGATCCCTCGTTGCAAACATTTACGCGGGACTTATCGCGACTTTCTATCAACAGGATTTAACCGTGGCTGGAATTCTCCTGGTCTCCCGACATTTATTTCTTCCTCTTTTCATTTCTCCAATTAGCCTCTTTTCTCTTTTTTCACCATTTACCGCGTGCAAATAACTCGAAAATTTAGTCAAAGGAATTTCGCGAATTGCGCGTACACACGCCGCAACGAAGCCCCCGGGCGGCGTTGTCCGCTAAAAATTATTCAAGTAAACGAATATTTACTTACACTAATACCCGCGCGGACTCGCAGTCAACGACGGAAAAGAGCGGAGGAAGAAGGGAAAGGAAGAAAAAATAGGAGCCGTTGGAAAGAACGTAGGCGGATGTAATTTTCAAAGCGTGGAAATGGAAAAAGTGCAATGTCGTGTCTTTTCCCTATTTCCAAGTTTCCCTCCCCGCCATTTCACCCCTCGCCGGCTCATTTATTTATTTATTCTCGCATGGATGCCGGCTTCGTTCCTCTCCTCCCCCGTCCTCCTCGACTCCTCAAATTTTCATCGTCATTTATTCGTTATTAGGACCAGTTGGTCCCTTCCCCAAACGGAATTGCGCCCGACCACCGTTTCAACATAATTAATTTTTTGCCTTTCAAAGGCATGTCGCGCTGATTAATTAGTCCCACTTTATTTTCCTCGGTCACGAATGACAAGGTTGGCCGAAGGTATCGCTCGAAAGAGGGTCGCGTTAGCGAAATTAAAACGAATTCGACTGTCTCCCCCCTCTCTTCTCCTACCAACTTAACCCTTCGGTCGCCCGGTAAAATTCTCGATGACGAAGGTCCTCCGGCGCAAATTAATACGATCCCCGCGCGAAACACGGCTTACCTCGGTCGAATCACCGGCCGCGAAGAGAGCGCGAGTAATGCGTGAATTAGACGAAGACAAAGACGGAACGCGGAGGGAAAAAGTGCAATTCTGTGTTTTGCCCCCGCGAACACGTTAAAGTCCGCGTGAACTCTTCTTTATCCGGTCGCGCGATAAACGCGCTTGCCCGTTCGGCCCCGCCGCGCCGGCCAATTAAATTTAAAGCACGCTTTTCCTCTGCTGACAGTAATTCCGTCTCTTAAACTTTCCGACCAATCCAGCCAGCAGCAGCAGCAACAGCAGCAGGACTGCCAGCGTACGCAACGAGTGCTCGTTAAAATCTTTTCCTCGTTGGTCAACTCGCGCTGGACCGCAAGCTGCCGCTTTTTTTTTTCTCCCCGCTCCTGCGTACGTTTAGTAACGAGCCAGGGGAGGCCAGGAATCGAGCGGCGGAAGGGAGTTAACCTTTTTAACGAACAAGGGAAAAATAGGTTGGTCGCTGGAGAGCGGGCAGAGCGCCGTTCGATATCGTTGCATGTTTCTTGCGGAGGAAAAAAAAAGAGGGAAAACCTTGGCTAGAAGCAGCATCGAGAGGATAGATATTGAAAGAGGGATAGGAGAGAAGGGTAACAATCGCGCGGGCTTTGAAAACCGCATGTGAACTCCTTCAGCGTAGAAATTGTTCCCGACACACTTGTGTAACTTGCCCTACTTTTTCTTCCCTCTTCCATCCCTCTCCTCTCCCTCTCGCAAGATTTCACCAGGCGTAATCAGACCTTTCAAGTTGGAGAACGTCCGTGGCGAGCAAATAAGCGAATGATCGATAACGAACCAACAGTCAACCAGCCAGCCACCGGCTTCTGGAATGTATCAAGAGCGATCCAGAAAGAAAATCCACGGCGTTTCCATTCGTTTAGTCGCCCGAAGCGTGACGAGCCTTTTCTCGATCCACCTTGTCACTGTCCAACACTCCAGCCTCTTTTCTTCCCCATTCCCACCCGTTTTGCTTTTCCACACAAACGACCCACATTCGCCCCGCTCGTCGGCCGTCCGGTCCGAATGCAGCCTGCAGGCGACGGTATCTCCGATGTGACACTATGCAGATTAAAATCCCATAAAAAAAAAGTGGGTGGCAGAGGGTGAGGGGCCCGAGGGACTTTGACAAATCGTCGAAAAATGCGGACGCGAGACAGCAAGAGGGGTCGGTATCAAACCTCGACGTGTCCCTCTTTTTCACCCTGTGTACACACGCACCCTCTCTTATTCCCTCTTCAGCTTGGCTCCAGTGCCAAAACTCCACCTGCCTCGCGTTGCTGCTCTTCCGTTTCCACCTGTACAGGTCGTTTCACTTTTTCTCCTCGACTGCCGGGAGTCTCGGAGGCACGAACCTCTGCTAGGTGTTTCAGGAGGCTTCAGGAGGTTGAAAACAGGGTTCGAACTGTTCGAGAACGAGGAGGAAGGCGTTGAAGTTTTCGAATGAACGCATCTTCGAGGAGGAAGTTTAAGAGAAAGTTCATAATCTTTAGACAAGATGATGAATCAGGCTAAGTTGGGGCGGACGAAAGTTAATATTTCCCCCGATTACCAAACTCCCCCGCTCGAGGATCATGCTTCGAGTTTCTCTAGGCTCCGCCGTCTAGAGAGATATTAAAACGATTTTCTTGTTCTCGGAAGGAACGGCCGAGTTAAACGGAGGTCCGCCTCGTTTGCACGAGCCTGTACACCGCGTGCACACGCTTTTCACCCATACCTAACCCATTTTTTTCATCCGGATCCATATTTACCACCCCCGGACCAATGCGCTCCTCTCTTTCTCCGCTGCTCGTTTCCCCTGTCCGCGAAGCGCATCACTTACGACCGCAGTCGGAGGATCAAAGTGTCGTTAGCGGATTTGAAAAAGAAAAAAAAAAAGGGGCTGCTATCGTCTATGAGGTACGTCGAGCCGAATAGAATTATCAGGAAACTTCGTTGCGCGATTCTGGCCGAGGTAAAAGCGCCTTTCGAGCGAGCACGCCGCTTCAAAGCGGACCGGTCTGTGTTTCGGATTCAACGATTCTCGCGAAAACCCTTCGTTTTCCTGCCAATTTTCGCAAGTTCCGCGAATACGTGTACACAATGTGAGAGATTCGTAAAAAGCAGGTGTTCCAAATACATAATAGTTCCGCGGAGCAAATTTCCCTCGTTTCGTCTAAACGAATTTGCACCCTCTCGAAAACTAGCACGGCAGGCAGGAGGAAAGAACGCGTTAATGGTGTAAGGAAAAGGTTGGAAAAAACGAGGAATAACCGGAGAGTTTGCCGCGAGACGGAGAAGTAACGGAACCGATGCCGAGCAATAATCCTCGTCGATCTACATAACGATCCTCGATAAATATCCGGGGAACGAGAACCATTATCACGTCCGAAAAAGTTCGCTATCAGTTCTGTTCTCGGTGTATTAACGAGAGCACTGATTGCTCGATAGAAATCGGCAAAGTGCTCTCGATTTCTTTTCCGGGGTACGCTACAGGTCGGTTCCACCGGCCTCGTATTCTCGGAATTAGCAGAACCATCGGGTGTTTCGTTCGTCCCATCTCTCCCTCTTTCCGTTTCATTCGTCGCGTCCCGTCGCGTTCTTCGGCCCGTTTGCACAACGAACGAAAGTCGTTAAGTTCTTCCCCGAGAATTATTCCGCGAGCTACGGCTCTCCACCTACCCACCCCTTATTTCTCCCTCGTCGTCCGTCTTCTCGTCATCTTCGAGCTTTTAATTACCGATCGGCATTCTAATTAACGAATGGATTTCCCCGGGCCACCGGGAAAATCGTTATCGATCTTGCGAAACAACGGCTATTAGGAGGTCGAGGAGGGCGGGCGAGGCCGAAGAGGCAACGAGGAGAGGAAGGGTAGAAAGGAGACAAAGGGGACGAAAGAGGAGAACGGCATCTTGCAATGTTCTTTCAGAATTGTACTTACTTTCTTTGTACTGGAGAACGTTCGAGTGCTTCTCGTGAATGACGACACAACGGTAGCAGGATTTTCTGGAACAGAACGGAAACGGGGGGTTTTCTCTCTTATTCAGGCCTTTCATTCGATATCGCTCGCTGGAATTAGAACGCTTTCCCCCTGTTTTCGATTCTTCTCCCTTCCGTTGTTTTCTCTTTCGTTTCTCGTTAGGCGACGACGCGACACGGTGGCTCGTCGAGATTAACGGAGGACCGGCCGGTCGTAATGAGAGCCGCCTCGATGCGCTCGAAATTCGTCAGAGATCCGTCCCGACGATTTTATTGACCGAATTAACGAGCACCGGCGGCGAGTCGAATTTCACGGAATATCGTTCGCCGGATACTCGCGTGTCGTAATACGAACTTTAAATACGAAACTGACCATTCCTGCCCTCTCCTCTCTCCCGCCCACCCCCTTTTTTCCTTCTTTTTTTAACGGCCCGCGATATAGGAAAAGTTTTTAT